GATACAAGGGATCGTCGGATTCCAGCACCAAGTTGGGTGTCATTTGTTCGGCAATGTCCAGCGCAAAATGCTTGAGCTCCACGGTGAGATCCATGTCCGGAAGGTGAAGAAGAATGCAGAGTAAATCCTTTATCGGTGGGTAATCCGCCATGAACCAGGCGTTATCCGGCAGCATCACCATGTTCCGAATGGTAAGAACGGCCTCGGTAATAAGTGTCATGTGGTCGGTAAACTCTGAAGGCTGAAAGTTGTCTTGGACATCTTTCCGCTTGAGCTCCGCAATGCGTTCTAGGATATCCGAGGTACCGTTAATACCATCGAGCTCGCCGATGTCGCCGTCGTCGACATCAGGGTCATTCGATATAACCCATTCGATGTTGTAGAATAAGCTGCCTACGCCCAGGGCAAACTCGGTCAACCCTTCGGCCAGTCCACTAAATTGAGCAAACTTGTACTTATCACCACGCTCAAAGGAAATCTTGACAAGATGGTTGAGTCCAAAGGCCTGCTCAGCACGGATACCGGATCGGAGAGCTAGGAGACAGCGTTCATAAATATTCGGGCCATCGAGGCTACCTACGTCTGGTGAGCATATGAGGCCAAGGGAGCGGTCGCGACAAGACTTACCTGGTGGAAGGGCAGCGCGTACCAGTGCCGAAGTACTGAGAGCACCGGGAGCGCCAGATGGGCCAGGTTGTCTTAAAAGGCGCCGCCTCTTGTTGAATAACTCGGGATTGCTCGTGGGCGTGTCGACGATGCGCAGCTGCATCGGCTGCAGCGGCGCAGGTTGGTAACTCTGCACCAAGTGGTGACTGTGGTCTGGACCTGGGTTGTACATAACTGACGCGCTTCCTCGGTTTTGATGGGCGTGAGGCGGGCCGTGAGAGGGTATGGGGGTACTGGAGTGAGATTGCGAATGCGACGGGGGTTGTTGGTTGTTTTGTGGATTGGAGTTGGAGGAAGGATTGGCTGCGGATTGTTGTTGCGCAGAACCGGCATGTCGTGTTTGCCGCGTCGAGTTTGTGTCTGGATGGAAAATCACCCTCGGGGCAGGCGCTTCTCTGAGACCCCGGGACGCGCGAGCTGAGTTGGGAGTGTCAACAGTACTCCGCTCCCTACTCGGAGTGCCGTCGTCGCCTGAATCTTCCTTATCACCTTTCAAACTCCTTGCGGTAAAGTTTTCAAGGGTTCTAGTTAGGAGTGATCCTCCTTTGGCAGTAGTAAACTCAAGAATCTCGGGTGGAGGCGGTTCCTTATTGTGGACCGTCTTGATCTCGTAGGCGGCCAAGTTCTTGTAGAATATTTGTTTCAAAGTATAAGCATCGGCAGGCGCATTGTGCCTCATGAGACCAAGACCCTCGCACATTTTCCGCCACATGAGCTTCTCGTCCGAGACCTTATCGTATCCGCCGTGTTCGACAATGTGCTTGAAGAGCTTGAGCAGGTCGACTGTCAGGTTGCCCATCTTGGGTTCAGGGTCGAAGTTGGTCCCGCGCTTCTCGTGGAAGACACGCAGATCTTCGATAAACTTTTCATATTCGGGCGTACGGTCGACAGTATGCTCGGGCATGGGTTGGGGTTTCGGAGGAGCCATTCTGGAGGATCGAGCCGCAGTACGGCTCCCACTGAGGGCTTCAAGGGAGAGCCAGGAAGGCTTCGATTGCGATGGCGATTGCGATTGTTGGGATGAGCGCCAATTGGGAACTGTTTCATTCGGGTGGAATGTAACGTAATGATATCGGGGTATCGGATTTCGTAGCTGTAATGCACGTGTCGGTGTCTCGATATGTTGGAATAGAACTCGAAAATATGAAACTGTCGCGATGGTCCAGGGAATGCGACGCGAGGCTGGTCTGCCACTTGGTTGCGAACTTTCCACTTTCTGAAATCGCGGGAGGGATTGACGGCATGGCGTCGGTTTTTTCCACTGTCACAGAGAGCTAACGGGCATTCCCTGCAGCGCACTGGCCAATGTCAAGACACCTTTGCCCCGCTTGACGCACATCGCGCTCGGGCCATATTAGCAGCTCTGCTCGCGACGGGGAGCTCCATCTGCCTTGGCCTCCAAGGTTCTCACTGACAGACACCTGAACACCGTCCAAGTATTTCGGCGTCGCTTCGTTCCAAGTGCTCCCCCAACATGGGTCAATGACACTCGCACAGAAAACAATGGATCTCGAGGAGACACTGGAGTCTCCAAAATGGATGTCTCGAGTTAATCAACTCTCAGTATAAACATCAAGACTTTATCATACTATAATACTGGGGGGCCCGTTTTGCGAACTGAACTGAAGTGTTCTTCTACTATCAGCCAGAACTTCGTTGAAGCTGGTCTCGCACGTTTAAGTTGAGGTAACTACCTTTATGGGAAGGAATGACCCCAGAATCGGTGCCATTAATGCCCAAGAGCACCTTCCTCTGCGACATGCATCCCCTCACATGAGGAATGGAGCGGTGATCAAGGTAGGAACCTGTAGCACTGCACCTTCCCGTCTCTCTAAAACTCTTCCACTTCCAAAACTCGAAGCAGGAGGAGGACTGAATTGAACTCACAGCGCCTTGTCTTCCGTCATCGTTTTTTTTTCCCTCGAGCATCCTCCACGCAGTCTTTTGCTTTGATTCTCTCCACGGCTGTGCCTGTGGTTGACATCTGATTGAACTGCAGGTAGTACTTCCAGTCCTATCAAGTCCCTCCTGTTCAAGTCGTCGCCTTGACCATTTTCAGAGTTGCTGGGAATGGCGCCCACGAAGAGCAAGAAGCCGAAAAAGCAGGAGCAAGCAGTGGTAACCATCGGTCCCGTTTTGCGTCGGTTTGAGCTTGAAGATGTCTTCATCAACCAGCGCCACAACAATTTCAAGGATCCCCAACTGGTCCTCAAAAGCCAACTCGATCGATCGCGCGGGACGCCCTACAATGCTGGGATAAACTCTCAGATACCCACTTGTCATCATCAGCTGATGATACATATCAAGGACAAAGCGGACGAGCTGGTCAGTCTCATATCATCCATGTCTCTTTCGTTCTGGTGCAACTTTCTAAACTTGGCGCCCTAGGTGAAATTGGAATTGGAAGACTTCACCCCAGCTGCCAAAGCCATGGGCCCCCCTTCGCAGTGTACCGCCGCATGTTCACCTTCTGAGCGTGCTTTCATGTTTTGGTATCCCGTGGGGCCAGAAAGGGTGAGTGGTTGGCAACCTTGACATGGTACAATCCGACAAGACTGACCACAATGAACGTCAATGAGACAGGCGTCCCTTTTGTTCTCGATGAAAAGTACTTCTGATTTTGAAGATGTCGTCAACGAAATGAAGCGGTGGGAAGTGACTATGGCTTCCAGCAGGCATGGCTTCGGACACGGTTACTGGATAAGAAGAGAACAGCAGGGTCTTCCCTCCATTGCTCAAGTCAATCCTCTGACTGTGGCCAAGTCATCCACCAGACGGCTCCGAAGATACATCACCAACGCACGCCCGGGCCTGCTGATAGATCCCAACAATCCGCACCTAGTCCATTCAGTGAGCATTACAAACCAGCTGACTAAGAGTTCCCAATCAATCCAGCACCTACGCCAACCTCTATATCTTCAACCTCCACAGGAATGGGCTCCCGGACGTCTCCTTCAACGCTCGGCAAGCACTATTGCAGGTTCTGGGATGCTTGAAGAAGGTGTCTACAAAATCAGCAAATTGAAATCAAACCCAATCGATCGAATTAGGATGAGAAGGCTCCCATCTTCTACGGCAGGAGAAGTAGCACCCACATTGCCAACACAACTGAAAATTGCCAGGCAAACTTCGGGACCAAGTTCAAGCACCGTCAATGTAACTCGCGGCCCCACTGTCGAGCAGCTGCGACGCAGGTCCCGAGTCCGTCTTTCACAGTTCAGCAAACACTATATGGCTGGCTTGACAGAAGCCACTAGGATATGGAATGAACACATGAGACGGGGTAAAGAGGAGAGTGACTTGGTGAGCGACCTTGAAGAGAAAGTCAGGATCTGGATGAGACATGCAAGGGTGTGTTACCGAGACCTGCACAAAGTAGAAGCCGCTACTAAGAGGAGGATGAGAGGTCAACCAGTCGGGACCGGTACGCTTCGACGATTGCCCAAACCAGGAGTAGGATCGCATTTCCCCCCCAACGTGCCTTTTGCTTCAGGAAGGCCTATGATCCAAAGTACACCTCAGTCGATAATGATACCTCCCGCCCCAGCAGGGACTTTCCCTTTGGCTACGCCTTCTCCTATTCTCTCCAGCAGATCGGCCGTCTTTTCATCTTTACGGCCAAGAAGTCACGGTCATTTTGAGTTGCCCAAGCAGTTTTCTTCACTCACAGCAACCACTCAAAGTTCACCATCTACTACGGGCATCTGGGGCGAAAGTGTATCTGCTAGTGGATTCCTATGATCTTGTTGAACAATCGGACGGTGGAATGATTTGATTCTCCCTAGGCTGGCTGTTGCCACTTGAACGGACTTCTGCGGCGGAATGGATCGCATCCTGTATAGTATGGTACTCTAAATGGGGTTCTGTCTGGGCAATCGTCATAAACGAGTTCAGGGCAGGCGTAGCTGAACGGAAGGTACCGCCTCAACTTATAGTGTAGAGTAGACGTCAACCCAAGTTAAGCTTAGATCAACTGACTCGAGCCTTATGAGAACCTGCTGCTTAACGCGAGTCAAGTTTGACATGCTTCTCTCCCGCCCGTCTTCCATCCCAACTCTTCATCTGGCCTGTGGCCCAAAGATTACAGCCCGTAACCTCGTCCCCTGCAGGGTATATTCTTCTTTTTCCTCTTTCTCTTCTTCTTCTTCTTCTTCTTTTTCTTCATGTGGATTCCATCATACAACTTATCTCTCGATGCTTCTTGCAGATGTGAAGTTTACCCAATTCCAGTGTCGTTTCACCTCGAGTGAAGGCTTTGAATGCAATGTTATATCTTTTCTCCACTACCTACATACATACCTAAACTATCTCGATCACTCAGACCTTACCTCACCTCACTTACGCTCCCCGTCCCCCTTCTTCTCAGCAGCCGAATCCTCCTCACTGAATGACAAAGAAATACTGTTCACACAATGACGCTCGTCCGTCGGCGTATTGAACCCTTCCCCCTTGAAGACGTGGCCCAGGTGTCCGCCGCAGTTGCTGCAAACGATCTCGGTCCGCGTCATGCCAAAGGTGCGATCCTCGTGCCGCGTCACGGCCCCGGGAATGCTGTCGAAGTAGGCCGGCCAGCCGCAGCCCGAGTTGAACTTGTGCGAGGCCTTGTACAGGGGTGCGTGGCACCCGGCGCAGGTGTAGACGCCTGCGGAGGGGTAGTGCTTGTCGAACTTGCCAGTGCCGGCAGGTTCTGTGCCCTTCTCGCGGAGGATGCGGAATTGTTCTGCATTTTTTTTATGGTAAGTATTGATGATGTGATGATTGAGATTTGAGGGGAATGGGGGCTGGTGAGATGAAAGTAGTGCTGATGTGGGTTATGATTTGGGAAGGCAACTCACGAGGGCTGAGAACCGCACGCCACTCATTGGCGGACTTTTGAACGGGATAATTCTCGGGCATTTTTTGGGATGATGACGAGGAGGATGAACCGAAGAAGCTGCCCAGAAAGGGAATCGTAGGCATAGAAGACTTTAGGATTATGCTGTTTCCGGTTCTGAACGATGCGTGTTGCGGTATGCGTCGCCTCTGTGTGAAGGTGGACAAAGTGCGCAGAATGCGGAGAAGGTTGGCGGCTTGGAGATAGTTACGCATGAAGGTCAACTGTTGCTGGATGTTGGATAGCCTCAGGTGTTCATATGTTCTTATTGACGACCAAATCATTGACATTCACGCCATGGAATTGTCTTTTGAGGTTTACAATTACAAATCACATGCGAATGAAATAGAACCGATATGGATTTATCTGCTTGAAGTTGCCCCAGGAATGACAGGGTAGTGTCACTACACTAGTAACCTCTCGCTGTAAGTTGGGATGGGAGTCTTGCGTCACAGACTCGATCCCGTTACAGTATGGAAAAACAAAGCATTGATGTCACTCATGGCTGTGGCTTTCGATATTCAAAGGTATCGATTACTCTTGCTCATAAGACGGTGACAAGCCTCCGTAGAATTAACTACCGATGTCTGATAGGTATCTAGGTATATAATACCCGCCCAGACTGTTCCATGCGGGACTCCAACGCTGCAGTGCTGTTTACCACAGCCATAAACTCGAGGGAGGATGATGTACACAGTATCAAGTACCTCGATACTTATTTGTGTTGTTCAAGCCACAAGTGGCTTGCTTCGTGTGCCATTAACACGCAACGCTCGATCAAAGGGCGGTGTTGTTTAAACGGCACCAGCTGACCCCTGTTGGACCTTGATAGTGGCGGTCCCCGGCCATCATTGACGGGGCCTGGGCGCATTGCAGTGGAGGACACTCCTGAGTCTCTGCATTGATATGTCCCGGGCTAGCCATTCTTTTCTGTAGGTTGTTGAACAGCTCACCCAATCTGATTACATTTCAACGACTCGACAGCAACCTGTCCTCCGAATCCCAGCCGGCCCGGATTCCTTCTCCCATCCAGAAACCTACGGCAAAGCAACTGTTTATTGCGAACACATCGCCATGTCTCGACGCCCGCCGAACCCCGCTGCCGAACGGGCAGCCAAAAACCAGCAGACGATCAAGTCGCTCCTGAAACTCGAGGCCAACAAGGTGTGCGCTGACTGCAAGCGCAACAAGCGTAAGTTTCTGCTGGGAATCCGACCATCGGTCATTACCAGGCCAGGTTATTGATAATGTCGCATACACACAGATCCACGATGGGCCAGCTGGAACCTCGGCGTCTTTATTTGCATCCGCTGCTCGGGCATTCACCGTGGAATGGGTACACACATCAGCCGTGTCAAGTCCGTCGACCTCGATGCTTGGACCGACGAGCAGCTACAAAGTGTCTTGAACTGGGGAAATGCTCGCGCTAACAAGTACTGGGAGGCCAAGCTGGCTCAGGGCCACGTCCCCTCCGAATCGAAAATCGAGAACTTTATTCGCACCAAATACGAGCTCAAGAGATGGGTAATGGATGGCCCGATGCCAGATCCCTCGACACTAGATGCTGAGGGTGACGATGATGTCCCGCTGAGTGTGGTGAAGGAGAAGCAGACTCTGGAGAGAAACGGATCTCTTCGTAGCCAGTCCAGCACTCCGACTGCGGCCTCACGATCTGTCCCCGCCCCTATTCCGGCCCCGGCTCCCGTACCCGACCTTATTGGTGCCGACCCGATTCCGGTTAGAGCCAGCACCACCGGACCGACAGCGTCAAAGGTGCCCCCGAAGGCCGAGCCTGCCCCGCCCAAGGCTACGAGTTCAAATGCTTCGCTTTTGGGACTGGATTTCTTCGGCACGGAAACTGCAGCGCCTCCAAGGCCCGCTAGTACGACGGGTACTTCGGGTGGTACCAACCAGTCGCGTCCCGATCTCAAGCAGTCTATCCTCTCTCTTTATGCCAGTGCACCTCGTCCACAGCAGCAAGCCGCGCCCTCGCACTCTCACTCAGGGTCCTTTAGCGGAATGAGCGGCATGTCCTCCCCGAGCATGTCCCAGACCCAAAATGCTTTTAGTGGGCTTAATGATGCTTTCAATAGCCTCAGTTTCAACAGTCAACCCTCCCCCAAGCCCGCCCAAACCGATGCCTTTGCTAGCCTCGGTAGCTTTGGTTCTCCCCGACCCTCGTCCCAGACTAGCAACAATGCCTTTTCCGGCCTAAGCGGTGGCAGCTTCTTCGATTCCAAGCCCGCCACATCCTCCCACCAATCCAAGCAGTCCATCAGCAGCCCATTGGGCTTCTCATCAACCCCTTCCCCTGCGCCAGCCTCTAAGCCCGCGCCCGCTTCCTCCGCCCTCGGTGACCTGTTTGACTTTTCCACAACAGCTACTACTACTACCGCCGCTCCTCCCTCGGCCGCCGCCCCGAAGCCTTCATCTGACTTCAGCTCCGCATTCAACCTTTCCAAGCCCGCCGCAACCACGCCGGCCCCTGCAGCCGCTACTCCAACAACACCAAACCCACTTGCCTCTATTGCGACGTCTAACGCTTGGTCAGATGCAGGTGTATGGGGTTCCAACGAGTGGGCCTCCGCCCCTGAGCCCCCCAAGCCTGCGGCTCCTGAACCGCCCAAGCCAGCACCTGTTACCTCTATCCCTCTTTCTAACGATTTTGGATGGGGCAACAGCACCACCACCACCTCCACTACCGGCGGCTCCTTCGCAAGCCAACCTATTGTCCCCAGCGCTTCGGGCGGCTTTGCGCCAGCACCAAAGGTGGCGGCCGATGAGGAATTTGGGGGCTGGATGAGCAGCACTACCACACCAGCTGCTCCGAGCGGATCCAAGCCGGCTACTGGGTTTGGTGGCAGTGACGACCTGTTCTCAAACGTCTGGCAATAAGAAACTTTAGAACGGCAATTCAGGGATCTCCGATATGGGGTTCAGAGGTAACTGAGTGCAGTGTACTGGGACTTTTGCTGTTGTCCTCGCACCTGATGCCGACCATGTAGATATATAATCAACCGGCAGGTGATGTGAGAAATAGGTCGGACAAGCTTATACCAAACCAGACCCATCAAGCGTCCGAACTTGTTTTTTCTTCAATACCACCTGACTGGAAAGGGGATGCTGTCCACGAACACCATGTCATAGTTATGCTGTGGGAGTCTGATCTAGTTAAGAGTTAGGCAAATGATGGTTTATGCGAGACAAATAGGGGAACGATGAACAACGCAGTCATGCTTACATCAGCAAGTCATGTTTTGTTTTGGCATATTGACATTATAGACGACAAGTTATTGTTCGTTGGTAGGGCAAAAGTAATGCACTTTCATATAGGATCCTCTTATCTTTCGTAAGGTGCATGTTGCCCTCATTAATGTCCTTTCGATGTCCTTGAAGTTTGGAAATGAAAAATGAAGGATGGGACTGAGAAATGTCGATGTCTGGCTTATACGTCACGACGTATCAATGACAACGTAAGGTACGCAGTAACCAGATCCCAAATAAACAAACAAAACCGAACCGTCAACGCCATTGCTATGCCTTTGCATCTACCCGCCTGTTGTCGAGACAAAACATTGAGCCCAGTCTGTAAACCAAAATCCACACTTCATCCAGAATCCACCAAAACACAAACCTACAGTCCTGCGTGAGCTGCTGCCCTCCCACCCATTGCCCCACCCAACATTGCACCTCCTCTGCGCAATACTAGTAGCGGCTTTTCTGAGAGCAAGCGGACTGCACATCGCCTGTACCAGAACTCCAACATCCAACAAGCTATCCGGACAAACTCCATCCTGTCTTGATGTCCGGCTTCGCACGCATCCGTCTTATCATTCCTGATATTTGTCGTTAATCGAACCGTTCCGCCCTCTACATCCTTCGCCCTGTGTTCTTGTAGTGAAACCGATGAAGAGAACCTCCCTTCCTTTCGCTTCCGGGCATGTATCCGCATGTCGAAGTTCAATAGACCCAATAGATCCAATATTCAAACGAGTTTAGCCCTCTCACACGTCGTGACTTTTCGAATCATTTAACCAACAAAAAGTCGATAAAGATAGTAAATGACCAGGAAGCTCCCAATAAGAATACCCGAGAGCTTGAGGATGGCGACCTTGTTCCCCGATGCGGCCATGCGGCCTAGACGGGTGGCGGAACCTTTGAGTTGAGAGCCCATGGAGGAGAAGGTATCGGTCTGTTTGTTGTTGGTGGGACTTGTTAGTTTATTATTTTGTGCAGAGTAAAATCAAAGGAACCGTACCGTTTGGTCAATAACTTCATGGTTGCGCGCCTGGTCGTAAATGTCAATCGTTACACCTCGAAGGGCAGAAACCTTGGAGGCTAGCTCGTCGAGGCGCGCATTATTTTGGCGCTCGCGCTCGTAGTTTGCGGACATTTTGATAATGGTAATGGGGGGGTTGTGTTGTGGTCGTAGTCGTATGTTGCGACTCGCTCAGCGGCCGTGTAGGAGGTTCACTCGTCAGTTTCGAGTATCGGGTTAATTGGAACTCGGTAATGTGGCCCCAATTTCGTATTCTCGTATATGTTACAACGTGTTATTTTGTCGCGCGCGCGCGGGTCGGCTTCGGCGTCTTGCAGTGTCCGTTGTTCGGAGTGAAGCCGTGGTGTTCCTATTGCCGAGTGCTATGGGGATGTCGAAAGGGGGTAGGTTGCAGCAGGTTCCAGATGCACTCAGTTCAGGGTCACAACGAAAGAAGGACACCGGGATCATGCATCCATCCGTCATGATGGGGGCGGCTCAGCTTGTTGATGCATACACCAGCCACAGCTATGGCCTCCTAGTCCAGTCGCGAATGATGTCAGTTTCTGCCATTTACGTGTGGCTGCGCGTAAAGCACTTGCATGGTCAATGCGGGGTCCTTTTCCCGGGGGGGGGAAGCGGAGCCTGCTGGAGCCATTTCATTGTGCTCGTGGTCCACTGCGACTTGGGGTCCCGTCAGTCAGTCGGCAACGACGAACGCCCGCTCTGCTCTGCCCGCTGGACAAGGCCCGGGTATTCAAAGTGGAAGGTGCAGGGCGCAGGGACGGAGTAAAGTAGAGGTACAATAGTGTACACTACTACTGCACAGCCCACGGCAGTGCTTGCCCACGCCCATCCCAGCGGCTCCAGTGATCGAGGGTCCAGTGCTAGGTACAGTTCTCACATGACGCGCGGCACGAGCTCCAACTTCCATTTCCAAGTACTTCCACCCGGCACATCGGATCCAATGTTGGCTGTGAGGAATTCCATGCCACTGTTTAGCCTCGCTCATCAGTAACTCCGATCTGTGAAGAAGAGGGAAAAAAACAAACTCTCAAACGGACGATTACACCAACAAAAGAGCAGGAACAAAGGCTTATCCTCCGGGAAGAAGATCGTTCATCACGAACAACAAGTGACCCCAAGGATCTCCCCAGCATCTTGACAAACCGCCGTTGTGGGGACGCCCAGGTACCAACCTCGCATTTACACAGGAAATTGACTGGGCTGATCTGCTTACTTGCTTGCCTGCCAGTGTGCCTGCAGGCACTGATCGGCCAGTGTCCCGAGAATTGACTGACGAACTCCATCTCTTTCTTTCTTTTTAATATTTTGCTGTCGCTGTCGCATTTCCACGGCATTCTCACCGCAGCCGCTCTACACGCCCTCGCCCTTCAAGACCCGCGTCAGTCCGCTATAGGGAGTTTTGCTTCGACACTTCAAGATGGGTATCAACAACCCTCTTCCGTCGTCACTTTCGTGTGAGTTTGTGTCCCCGGGGTTCCCGTGCTGTCCAGAGCCCGACCCCGCAACTCCCCTTCGCTTCGCCGAATCCGACAACCTAACACGTCTGTAACCAGCGGAATGTAAGAAGTGCGGTAAAATCCTCGCCTCCTTCATCGAGCCCAAACAAGCCTTTGGTCCCGACAAGGTGATACCGCCATCTGTGCTCGCGAATGCCAAGGTACGAAACAGCATCTGCAACCTCAACGAAAGCGACCAGGTGGTTAACGTTCTCTTAGGGTCTTGCTATACTCACCGTCATCAAAGCTGGTTTCCTCGGATCTGCCCGTTTCGGTAGCGGTCTGGTAGTCGCCCGCCTCCCCGACGGCAGCTGGTCTGCACCCACCGCCATTGCTACGGGCGGTGCCGGCTTCGGCGGTCAGATCGGTTTCGAGCTTACAGATTTCGTTTTCATTCTCAACGACGCGAGCGCCGTAAAAACCTTCGCCCAGGCTGGGTCACTTACACTTGGTGGTAACGTTTCGGTCGCGGCCGGGCCTGTCGGTAGAAATGCCGAGGCCGCCGGAGCCGCTTCGCTGAGAAGCGTAGCGGGCATCTTCAGTTATTCCAAGACCAAGGGCTTGTTTGCTGGCGTGTCTCTCGAAGGTTCTATGATAATCGAGCGAAAAGACGCCAATGCAAAGCTCTATGGTCGTCAGGTTTCCGCCAAGGAGCTCCTCTCGGGAGCCGAGCGCCCCCCGCCGCAAGCCGCTCCTCTCCTCAGCATACTCAACTCACGGATTTTTGCTGGCATGTCCTCTGGGTCTTTCGATGACCGGATGTATAACGACCAGCCCGTCTACGACAACACCCATGACCGCGTGGTATGGGGCGACAGGACAGGGAATGCCTACGGCGAGGGCCAAACTCGCGATTCCGGTTATGGGGCATCGGGTGGATCGGGAGGACAAGCACACGACGAGTTTGGCCGACCCAAGCGCGCTTCCACGTGGCAGGATGATGTGTACGACCAGCAGCCTCGTGGCTTCTCGAATAACAGGGCATCCGTACAGTACGGCCGGAATGACACCAATGGAGGTGGATTCGGCGGCGGTTACGGCGCGGCAGCGGCCCAGCAGGCGGCCGCCGACAAGAAGCTTGGCCCGGGGCGGCCGGCTGCACCGAAGCCGAACTACGCGAGCAAACAAGCCTTGATGAAGAAGAACGAGGCTGTCGCTCTTTACACGTTCAATGCGGACCAACCTGGAGACTTGGGCTTCCAAAAGGGCGAGATCATCACTATCCTCAAAAAAACCGACAGCGACAATGACTGGTGGTGAGTACACATCGTGGCATATTAATGACATTGGCATTATCTTACTAACGTGTTTCTCAGGACTGGCATGATCGGCACAAGACATGGCACATTTCCCAGCAACTACGTAAAGATGATCGAGTAAAGAAAAAGTGGATATACCTAAGCAGCGAGGTTACGACAGGCGATCTACGATGACGACTCCTTCTGAGCTCCTGAATGCACCCGCGTGCACAAGCATATGAAGAGGACCACAGCATAAGCCACATGAGCGTACTAGCCCTACTTGGGCAAACCAGGGTTGCTATGTTCATTGGGTTTTTACGACTTTTCTTGCGCTATCTTCCCCCGTTCTTTTTATCTCGGCGTTTTCTTTTCTAACGATGACATGCATGGAATTGGGTTTGCTTTCTTGTTTCTACGTTTCTACATCTCTTTTGGGCGTCTTTGGACTTTTCATCATGACGGAGGATCAGCAATTTAGTCAGGTTCCAGGTTGAGGTATATTTGGATTGAGTGAAAGGCGAGAAGGGCGATGTTTGGTCTCATCAGACTGCGCAGCGGCACGTGTTTGGAAAGCAAGCAGTAGGACGTTGGACCGAATTGGACCCTGATGCAGAATATTAGGATCATCATACCTCCAATGTGCTTGAACGAGGACGGAAGAGAAATGATATACCGTGAATTCTTGTTTGCTTCATTCACCACCTGAACGTCTCCCATCTCTCAAGGATGCAATCTCGGCGGTCAACAAAGAGCATTACCTACAATGTTGTTAACAGAAATAGCATCAGCACTTCAGCAAACAAGTCACTGAGCGCACACAAGATCAAACAGTACTATGCGTTGTATGCAAAATGTCATATATACCACTCACACGTACCGGTCAGCAAGGAGGCCGAGTTAATCCTGTTGTATGACTTCGATGAAATGCATTTTCTATATGTGTTGCTGTTTGTAACTTTCAGGCAGATTGTAACAATTCCTGCTGCGCGTGTTGACCAAACTACACTGAAAGTAAGGGTGCACGGAGAGGATAGTATGTGTCACGATATATGACGGGCATCATCATCCTGGTAGCTGGGTGACCCGAGGAAGATCAGTCTCGCCCAAGGGTTTTACCCCCATAGTCAGGCTACAAATGTGGTTATACTCCGACTTGCGCGCAGTAGTATCTCATCTTGAAACATGAGGAAAGGCTGGAGCACCATTTTCGCGAATCAAAACCAGAATCGATGGGCGACGATCCCTCAAGAGCATTTGTGATGTGTCGCATCTCCCGCCTTAGGACATAAGGAAACTGAACATCCGAAATACCATGCCATTGTGAAGTAGGCAAATCCCAATATGCTCTGTCTATAACATAGTCGTTGTGTCTTTCAGTTAAGGGGGTTTGCGTGGTAGTTGTTATGCCGTACAGTATCGATGTCATAGACCGGTTTCTTACTATTAAATAATTATTTATTTATTTTATCCAACATGCCAGTGTAAATCTTGAGTCTCGTCGACCAACCCGACAAACCAAAAAAAATATGACGGCGCATAAATGTTAGGACATCCTGCCTCACTGCTCGGTTTCACAGATATGGATGGGACGATCTCTCATTTAACGAGTTGACGGTGGCTGAGCAGTTACAGAGTTGATCGCATCCCAACAGCCAAAACGATGTCACTCACCACCATGGGTAATCTTCGCCACCCAACATCACGGTGAAAAGAGGAAGCAAAGAAAATGATAGGCTACCCTCATATGTATCATCCACTTTCCTCTGGCCGCTGAGTAGTTCGTATCGGTCTTCTCCAAAGACAACTCTCTTCGCCTGTAACCCTGATATGCAGTCCATTTTGCCACCACGTGGACTGGTTCAGAATCTTGGTCTAACGATCGATAAGGAAAGCGATAGAATACTCGAAAGCTGATAACGTAACAACATAGTATCGCTCCTCATAAATCGCATGCCATCACATTCTCAAGGTGAAAAGTGAAAGTTCACATGTCGTATCTCGAAGAGCATCGCCGCTAACGGATTTGCAATATCGCACGCCAAGCCGCCCTTGGGTGCATATTTGTGTGTGTGTGTGTGTGTGTGTGTGTTGGTAAGATGGGCTTCCAGAACATTTCTATGCAGTTGCTGTCAAGTTGAAGGGCGGGCCGGAGATAACACTGGCTCGTTGAATCTGTTTTTCTTGAGTGGATGTCGAGGCTGGGTCCTATTGTTTTATCAATCCAACATGTGATGGGAGGACCAATAGGCGGATGGAAGAGCTGCACATGTTCCGGACGATTTCCGGCTGCCGGAGTGATCCCGGGTTTCGAATGAATACAGCTATGTGGTAAGCGCCACAACAAGGATTGATGCATCAGCCTTGACTGGTTCAGACCGGCAACAAAATCAAAAAGAGAGGAGCCAAGTGGCTGGCTCAACCCATTATCTGCGGGCGGTTGTTTTGTTGCTGAAAGACACGCCGTTTTCACATGTCTCGATGAATGGTCCCTGACAAAGGCTGGACTCAAGCTTATCGCAATGGAAAAAGCGGGTCGATTTCCGCGCCGTGGTGACGGTTGCCTCCTCGACATCCCGACGATGGGGTCGAACCTTGATCCGTCGGTAGTCGAACACCACGCCTTTGCTATGAACAGCTACTATGTATAAATCACAGCCTTTGCACGTGCGATAATCGGTGGTATGTAAACTCCGGTCCTTATGATGAAGTTGGGAGCATCGGTCGATACTGTGTAGTGGCAATGATACACTGGATGATTTGCCTAAATCATGGCATGTTGCCGCTTCTTTCCAAAGGGAAATACTCACCGAGAAGCCCATTTATTCCTTGACAATATGAATTGGGCGTCATATTGTGTCTAGATCGCAAATCTGTGAGCCGGTTATAGGAAGGGAGCTGCTCGATAAGCGACGGCAAAGACATTCCCAGCAGACCCTCTACTTAGTGTATAATCGACGCCACAAACAGCCCGAGAGGTCCTTATTGCAATTCAGGGAAGTGATTGATTGGTGCCTTGGATTACTAGTGTAGATAGTGAGATAGTGTGCTCGGAGCATAGGTGGTATCCCTCCCCCCTCTCTCACTCTGCAGAATCCCCTTTGAGTGCAAGGAGATAACTGCTCGGATTCCCATGTAGATGCTAGGGACAATGCTGTAGTGCAATGCAGGGGCAAATGCCGTAAAAGAAGGGCCGAAAATGTAATGGTCCGCAATCCTGTAACGTAGCCCTGGGAGTTTGCCGGTGACCCACTGAACGGGAGCGGCTAATGTCCTTTTTTCGATTTGCGTCCATGCAGCAACAAGTTGGAGTTCGTGAATTTTTTTTCTCATAGGGCTGATGAGAACGGCAACGATGGGGCAACAGTAGAGGCAGGAAAAATCATACACTACATACCGTAGCACCACGAACTCCGCCGATAACATACATGACGTGATATTGGAGTTTATCGAAGTCTCCCAAGAGACTTCCACGTCTGAATATTCGGAGGGGCGCCGTCTGGTCTAAAAGTTCAGCTTCTGAGGGTTATCGCATGGTCCCCACCTGCACAACGCAGGAGGGATCTCGCCCACATCTGGCGGTGTGTTTAGAAATCTCTGACCCGGGGCTCTTTTGTATTTGCTGCGGAATAATGACTCAAGCATTGAGATGAAAAAGGCACTGGCATCGCCGTTTCACTGGAAGAGAAGGGCCGGCTAGAGTGGAGGATTTGAGAAAAAAACTTGTTCGGCCGCTCGTGTTTACGACGGATCTGGATCTTGGTTGGAGCTCGCTTCCAGCTTTGCCTCGTCTTGGCTTTGAAGGTTAATGCCCGGGAGATCGACAAGTGCGGCGATGATAATGGCCAATCGGCTCTGTGTCAAAGCCACTGATGGTTGGAAAATGTGTTGTTAGGTGTTTGTTGTTGGTGATGGGAGGGTACCTCATAACCTCTAGCTGATTCAATGTATGATCAAAGTACCGCTGCTGGCTGTCAGTGGCTTCTTTCCACTTCCTGCCAATGAGTTACGCTCGTCGCATGACTGCCTTTTGCTGCCAAGGTTGCAAAAAGGAACAGACAAGCAACGGGGCGTTCTAGTTCCTATCCGCTTGAATGGAGTCGAGCTTCCCGCTGGAGCAGCGGTTTCCTGGCTTCGGTGAGGCTCGTGTGGCTCGGCGTCAGTCGGCATCGTCAACCGCGTTTCGGACAAGGAGGCCCCCCCCCCCCCCCCCTCTTTCCCCCCCCCCAACCAGCCCACTTTGCCGCAACCGGGACCCTCGTCTGGCTCCGACATCCGACGCCAGAGTCGCAGACGAACGGTTCGACCCTCATCCTGTGGATGTTGCACAAATTGGGGATCTGCCATTTTATGCGTACCTGACAGGTCTGTTCGCTGTGTGATTTGTCGATGGAGCAAAAACGGCTGATGCCTCGACCTGCTTGACTGACACTTGCATCCGATGGGCTGATTCGAATTTCCGTCAATGGCGCCATCGATGATCAACATTCTAGAGGTCCCTACCCAGGGAGAGGGGTTCAATGCCAGGGAGAATCGACAGAGCCAGAATCACCAACACATGCTCTCAATGGTAGCAAACAGAACAGAGAGCTCAATAACGAGTTGGGCTTGCACTTGTTATCATCCATTGTTCGCTTGCGACCAACATGTTATCAAAACAGCATCGCGATTCTCTTCGCCAATGTGTGATGACCTTGACATGCACTTGTGATTGGTCTTAGTGGCGTCGTTTGCCGCGTGTCGACACTAGTTGTGGTGTCCATCCTAACCAATTGGGGGAATTTCTCCCAGGAGTCTATCTGGTAGTGTAGAACTGCCGGCGTGGGGGCACTTCAGTTTTTCCTTCACTCGTTCTAGAAGCTGACACGGGTTCGTGGCTCCGTTCGACTCGACAATCCGCGAGGCTGAGCATTTGATACAAAATGATGGTGGCACTTCAAGGCCTGACGGCCATATAATACCTTGCCTGGGAATAAGTGAGCATTTGAGGGCAAGGAATTGCTTTGGGTGTGCGAGTGGCGGGAATAAAGAAGGGACCTCATTCCATGCTGATGTTGGTCTATATGTAGGTATGTAACCCTATCGAGTAGCGACCTCTTGGCGCCAGGTTCCCGCCGCCTTTTTTTTCCGACCCTTCCCTCACGATCTTCGAGATTCCGTTTTTTTTTACTTGCATGCGCAGGTACTCCTGGGTACCTACCCGAGCTACCTCAGCCCAGTGTTACAAGGATGCACGAAAGCCCTCCCAACTGAATGACGCTATCGATATGCCCCCACACCAACATCCCGTCGATAGGGACTGATCGATGCCCGCTTTCAGTCCCATTGTCTTCTGTCACGGTGACAGATGGCGCTTCCATCCATTCCGTCAATGCCATCTCAACAACCTCGACTTGATCAGTAGACTTCATTTTATCGAGCTTTGATTCTAAGTGGAACACCACTCGTAAATGGGTGGCAGGCTGGGAGCCGGCTATGTATCGCGGATGTACACCTATGCCGCTGAACAGATTGTGGATGGCTTTTTCAAGTCGCTGGTATCCGCAGCCCGAGTACCTTCTCAACCTGGTCTTGATACACCCGAGACAACGAAGGCAGAAGCGCAGCATCCTCCCAATCACGCTCTCGACCGCAGTCGTTTCATGTCTTGGTGCGTCCAATCATTTATGCGTAGTATGTAGAGGTAGAAGCAGAGGTTCGCGCTTGTGGTGTCATGGCACCGTCTTGATATCTGAGGTGTCCCGCTTGGCTGCTGCTTTCAGTCACCCGAGTTATCGCATATTCAGCGGCAGTTGCGGCTGTCACGCGGTGCAGG